TTGTTGGGAGTGGGTTCAGTTTGGTCGTGGGTTCAGAGTGGGTTCAGTTTGGAAATATTCTTTGAGGCGCAGGCGTCGGAAGAATTCTTCTAGTTCTCCACCTTGAAGTATTGTATTAGGGTAATTTTCTGGACAGAAATTTAGGCCTTTAGAAAGGACAGATTTTTCAGTTTTGGTAAGCGTGTGTGTGGAGGATACTCATATAAGCTGCTATGATGCCGATCTTAACCTAGCAACACAAGTGTAGCAAAACCACTCCACCTTTACTCCTGCTTCATTCATTATCCAAGTTAGGGTGACTTAGCTAAGTTGCACCACTGCAGGATCCAGCAGAGGAAAGTATGAGATCATAGCAGTTGATGCATGCTTTCTAGGCACAGCCCAACCCCACATTTTTTAAAGCAGCAAAACAGATTTGTTCATATTCTGTGTTAGTGTAGCACCCAGCCTGGGTGGGTGCGTTAAGTACTCCCTTTGTGTCTGTGACTTCTGTCCAATGCACTGAAGTAATAGTGCCATAGGGAGCCCTTGATATGCTGATTCTGTTGAGGAAGGAAATGACTTTCTCTCTGCTGTTTCCCAGTGTGATTTAAAGCCAAGGAATGCCAGTGCGCTCTGTGCAAAGTACTGACCTCCCCACCCTGGGCTTTGTCATCAGCAATTCTTTCTCCTGTCCTGAAAATGGACTCCCTTTCCCTAAAAGGGTGTACTCGCATTTGAATTAATCAGTGACACCCTTTCAGAAAAGCCACTCCATTTCCTTGAATCAAGCAAAGCTGTGTACTGGAGAGGGATGGCATATGTGTCTTAGTCTTTTATTAGTGGTGACAGTTTTGCTAATGCAGTTGCCACTCTGCATGAAAATAAACAGTATATGGTACTGCTCAAAGCTGTGTATTTTCTGCCTAATATATTTTGCCTTAAGACCAGATCTTAACATCTGAAGTGTTTATGATGAGTTGGCAGGAAAGGGAACTGTTCTGCCAGACAGGGAGATTTCGGCGTGGGGGGAGGGGAAGTAGATGAATGAAAACTCTTAATGATTACAAGTGAGCCTAACTATAATTATAAATTGTCACAGACCTTCCTGCAGCAAAGGGGCATAATAAAATATGCCAGTCTGAGAGGACTTCTTATGTAAACAAACCATTTTTAATGGTTTGGTGGCATTCCACAAGTGTTAATGTGCAAATGACAACAGGGCAATCAAAATCAACATGAGAAGTAAGACCAAGAGGCTGTAAATAGTAATAGCTACACAATAGGAGAATGAAGACAGTAACTCGGTGAAGTGTCATGGGGCATCTGCAGGTTGCAGATGTACTGTAAAAAATGACCCATCTTCTTTCCTCTTAAATGTGTACAGTATTTCTTGTATTTTTTTTTCTCCTTTCAACAAAGAGTTACTCTTTTTTTTACTTAAAAAACACGTGTCATAGATTGATGGATGAGCTGTTTTCATGGGCCCTGTAAAAATAGAGAATAGTACTGTAAACTGCAAGAATATCAGAAAAATCTGTAGGGTAATAGATATGGTCCATTTTATATCTATCTGAAAATGCGTTTGCTTTGTTATATTTTTCAGAATGATCCTGTCAGTGAAATGTCATATTATAGTAAATTGCTAAGATGTCAAAGATGTATAAAATAGCTTGATTTGAATATTCTTTTATCCATACAGCTCAGAGTATCACCTGCATAAACAGACACCATAAACCATCCCTTTTTGTATCACCCAACCCTGTTTCCAATGAAAAATGGTTCTGTTAACCAAGCTGTGTACAGCCTGAACCATTCTATTTGCTATGTTTAACTTTGCAGATGCCGTGGAATGGCACGGAGAGGGAAATAGCAATGCAACCTCTACTTTCTTTGCCTTCTGCCCCCATGACATCTAGTTCATAACTGCTTGGGCTCATATCAGAACTTGTGCCAGTGGGCTTTACCTGCCTTCCCTTTTGTTTCATCTCTTGGAATTTATATGAAAATTATGATGCTCTTTGAGGGTGAAACCAGTGGACAGAGTGGTTAAGAGCCAGTCAGTATTAATATCAGTACTAGTTGATAGAAGATACTGAAACAAGCCTCCCTGGCCACTAGCAGATTGATCTATACCAGTAGGTTCAACCTTGGGTGCCTTGACATCCTTTCAGGGGTGACATTCAATGTTATCACTGTTAGGTGTGCAAACATGACTCACAAGATCAACTCCGTTTTTAAATAGGGATCTGTAATGTTAAAATCATTCTGACCTGTTGTGATCTGAATTATTTGCAACAGGAGAATTGCTCTGTAGTCCAAGAAAGGGAGTGAAAACTAAGAGCTGGCATTTTTCAAAGAGTGCCTTGAGTGTTTGAGTGGTGTCTCAAGTATAAAAAGGTTGAGAACCACTGGTGCTTTTCCTATATATGTATTTCCCCTTTCTTTGTCATGGTTGTAGTCCTTCCTCTATCCACATAGAGATCTAGAATCAAGGGGGTTTGTTAGTAATTTAGAAAATGTAATAAAGTTGTTTCATTTTATTCATTCTGTCAAAATAAGTTTTCCATTGCTCAAATGCATTTTCATGCTTAAAATACTGTTCTGTCTGTTTCCCTCTCCTCTTTCCCCCTCAGAAATCAGTCTGAATTTTCGAGATCCTCCAACTAAAATTACTGTTATTCCCGAATCAGTGGTTAAACCGGAATGGAGATTACCTGAAGTTAAATACCGGTTTATAACTAGGTAAAATAAAAATTTCTATATTTCCTGAAGGGTGAATTTTTGTTAATTAACATTGAATATTGAATGATATTATAGATAAAAATATAATTGTGTCCCTTGCCCCCCCTCCACCCTTTCTCTTCGGTTTCTCATTTAGGAATTTTTCTGAGTGATTTCCCTTTTGAGTCATTAACAAGTGTGTGTGTGTGTGTGTGTGTGTGCGTGTATATATAAACAAAATTCTCCAATTTTTATTTTTAGGTCAGAACTGGATGACTTACCGAACAGTCATTCCTGTGATATAATTGGCCTTGTGACATTTGTGGGACGGACTGAACGGACAAAAAAGAAAGGTTTCTTTAATAAAAATTGTTTTAAATATTTGACAAAAATTATAGTTTTAATGGTGTAATTGTGTGTGTGTTTGTTTTGGACAGGACGTGGTGAAGATTTTTGGACAAGCCGCTGGGTACATGTTATTGATGGGACCTCAGATCAGCCATTCATAATGGAATTGTTTGCCACATCTCAGCCAGATGTGTTTGAACGTATTCACCCAAGTATTTATCTTTTATAATATTATGATAATTGTATTTTCTTTTTTATTTCAATGCAAAATACATTCTTAGATGAGCATGAACTTTGAGCACCAGACATCATTACCTTAAAAAAAATAGCAGTATAGATTTTCCTTATCCCGAATCAAAAAATAAATGACCTGAATGAAACCAAACCCAAACAAGGCACCCCTCAACAAAATTGGTAACCAGTACCATGCCATAATATGCCCAGTACTCTAGGTAAGATGGGCTGTTTTACTCTGGTTCAGACAAAGTTGAATGAATCTGAGTACGTAAGAGAACATCTGACTGACAGTCCCATTCTCTCTTCCTAGGTGAAGCCCTTCTCATAAAAGTCCACTGA